AAGTTCTGATGAAGCTTTGATAAATCAATACAGAAGTAATATATTATGGAAATACTGTGAGAGAACACCTTAAGCTGGTATTTATTCTAAGCTCCTTGGTACCTTTCTCAGGCAGGAAATAGACTTCACAACAGACTTGATAAGTTTAAATTGTGGCTTCCACCGGGTGTGTTCTGGGAAGCAACTGAAATTTCACTTGGCCATGACAAGTGATACCAATGTTCACGCCGTTCACACCCTGAAGTATAAACGATAGGTATGAATTGTCTCAACATCTAAGGCTGAATCTCAAGTTCTAGTGAAATAAAGGATTATCACAGCGAAGGAGATAAAAACTACAATTTCAGAAATACTTCAGAAATTCAGTAAGGAATGATAGAAATATTTTTATATTATCCTCCTCTTACTGTATTTGTGAATTTTACGACAGTATCTCCTGAGGTAGTATCTGTTTTTTTTTTCACTGAAAAATACAAGACTGCAGACTCATGTTAATCATTCCCAAGTTTGGAAAATGTATGGATTCTTCCTGAAACTGGCATCAGAGATCTGCAGGAATATTATGACTGAAACACAATCAGAACATTACATGTATTTCTGTAAAAATGTATAACTTTAGCCACAAACGTAGTATGATTTCTTCCTGGAATAGCAATGCAAGGTTACTTAAATCTTTACTTATTTGTACTTCATGTATTTATTTCCTAATTCTCAATGTTTCTGATTTTGTTTAGTTTTTTCCCCACATAGTTAACCTTTCTCTCCAAAACCGTTCTTATCTGTGAGAGAAGAAGGATTTTTAATTCTATTAAGAATTATCTTGCACATTTTTCAAATAGAAATTTAAGAATTGAGGTTGATTTTCTTTGCTTCTTAGTACGCTTTGAACTATACATAAATGGAAAACTGTGTCTAGACAGACAGCTAATCCATGTGAAATAGCTAGTTCAAGATATAGATATTTAGTTAGCACCTTAGCACAAGGTATAGGTATCTTCCTAATACTCTATTTGAGACAACAAAGGATGTTTTTGATCATCTGCTCTCCATGATACTCAGATTCTGTCATCTTCCCCGGTCAGGGAAGGGAGGTAAGACTGATGTCTTATGTCAGTCACCATTCTAAGTTCCTACCATTCCATGGAAATTGTGTCCAGTGTTCTGGGAATGTAATTTCTAAGCATCGTTGAGGCAGTTGGAAGCTAAAGTTTTTCTTATCTATAAAAGCTTACAAAATAATTGCATAGGATAATAGTGTTGAGAAGTTTTTTCTGCAAGCAAAATTTTCTATGTAGCTTTTTAGCTTCAAAGAGGAAACATAAATAGAGTTTAGATGTAACAAAACTTAGCAGTGAACTTCTATAGCTTCTGTCAGACCCAGTCTAATTTTTTTTATAATAAAGTAAGAAAAAAAAAAAAGAAAAACTAGATTTTGGAGTGGTTTTATTAGTCTGTGTATGTGATTGAAGCCACAGTACACTGAAAAATATCTTCCAGGTCTTGCGTCTGTAATAGATGCACTTCTACTGATCATTAGGTTCTTATCTTAATTGTTTTCATAATCATTTGAAAAGTTTGATTCAGTTTAATAGCATCTTTATAGAACGTGCAGATTAGAGAGCTTCTGAAATGGGAGGGAAAATGATATTCCATTGATAGTCTGTAGTCCTGAAAATTTCAGATGCTCCACGCTCATTCCTACAGATTAAGACAATGGCTACCACCAAGTTAAGTGCCAAAAAATTCTACCAAAAAAGCTAGTGGTTACCCCTGCTGCGTGTGTGCATTTTCAGATTAGAATACATTGATTTTATTCCATTCTTAATCTTAGTGCTTGATGGGCATTTTAAAGACTATGGTAATTTCAGTCTCTCCTTTAAAGCTTCTCACAGCAGGACGTCCAGAAAATGTTGCAAATGTGAATGATCAGCAAAGTCTTCAGAAAACTGTATAGTCTTTGCAAGTGGTTTTGTAATGACTAGTGTAGTCCTTTAAAATATATTGAGCACGGTTAAAGTCTTCAGAAAACTGTATAGTCTTTGCAAGTGGTTTTGTAATGACTAGTGTAGTCCTTAAAATATATTGTGCACAGTCACCCTCCTTACATTCTTTAATGACAATCTATTTTTAATAAAGCCATTTAGCTTGGTTAATTAGAGTAAGTAATAAATCTCCTAGTCTGCTGACTAATCTCAGAAAATATTTTAGACCACGCTGGTTGAAAGTGAGGCTGCAAGATTAACTATACGTATATTTGTAATTTTGGCTTTTTATCAGCATTATACTTGCAAGAAAAGCCTTTAAGAATACAGATCAGCTTCTTGATGCAAGTCATAGAGCTCACCTTCATGGAAAATAGCGGTAGAAAAAAAATAGGCAGTGGAAAAATGAGAGAATAGCCTGTGCCAGTAATCTCAAAGAGAGAGGCTGATATTACCCTTCATTCCCGGTTCTAGTCCCGTGTTTTATGTCAGCAGTGTGCCATTTATCTTATCCAGTTTTTAACTTGAGGCTTCTTGCAACCATTGAAGCTTCTCTCTCTCTCTACAATTCAGCCCCATGTTATGATACAGCTTCTCTTCACTGTCTGGTGCACCTGGAAGCTTTCTCGTTCTTGTTCTCAGTTTCTGGAGTCTCAGGTCAAAGTAGATCATTGTTAATCCCACCTGAACTGGTACATTCTACTATGTTGTACTAAGCAAATGTAATTCACTCTTGAAACTTACAATAGAGTTCTTTCAGCCTTTCAAAGAATATCACTGGAGCAAACTGTAAAACCAGCACAGACTCACTCACTCAGCTTAATACTACTTTATCATACTTATAGAATCCCCTTTTTGGGACATGTCAACTGTGCATAGGGGAAACCAAGTGGCTGTATAGTTGTGACCCACAGATTATGATCTGCTTCTGATCAGACTGTACAGTGACCTGCAATAGGTAAGAGACTTTCTCTTTGTCCAATGCTAAAAATAGAGGCATTTGATTCTCCCAGTTTAGTTCAATCACCCAGTTCCATAGTAACAGGTTTTCCTTTTGGCTTGGAGTGTCCATTTGTGATTTTTAAAGCACATGGTTAACCATTAACGTTAACAATGCTCAAATGTAGTTAATACCCTCGTGTGCAGATACTGACACGCAAAAACTCACCTCTAACAATATTCTGTATCAAGCAGTAATACGAACTTTTTTCAGAGGAGCCGATCTTTTTGAAGTCGTGTTATGAGTCTTGAATTCCACTGTATGCCATTTGCCTGCCTGAAATCCCTGGCAGTTATTTTGTGTTATTTCATGATAAATGCAGATTATGATGTCCAAATAACTATTTGAAAGTACACTGAAGTCTTTTTCTTTGACTTGAATGAGGGGCTGTTCTCTCGAATTTAGGGCCAGTTTCTTTCTGGGGCCCATGCTGAATAATTTCCTAGTTCCCTGTTTGGGAAGGATGATGGCCAGTTTCTTTCTGGGGCCCATGCTGAATACTTTCCTAGTTCCTTGTTTGGGAAAAAATGATATGTGTTTCCTTCTGTCCAGAATCCTTCTCATGCTGTGATCCTTTCTGCCCCTTACCTGGCAAAGCCAGTCCTGGCTGCAGAAGTCTGTATTCTTTTTTGGTGAGAGTCCTGAAAACTCAAGTCTGCTCATGTCTGACGGGTGGTCAGTTTGAGAAGGTTTATTGTGGAAACCTCAGACCCCTCTATCTGATGACATGCATGCTGAATATCAAGTCCGTATATATCGACACTAAGGTTCTTGATTAATAGCAAGAACATCTCTGCTGTGTCCAGGGGACCAGATTTTCTGCTCCTAAACTGGTGTACAGCCCAGCATTAATTCCGAGGTTCTTATCCCTCTAGGCAAACTGCTGGAGCTGAAGAAAACTGGGCTAACAGCTCAGGGTATCTTAGTATTCTGTTGGTGTTCAGTACTTTTGTATTCTCCCGTCTGCTCAGTATAGATATATCTGAATGATTTCAACCTTTGGGGGAATCCATTCCTGCGGTGGATCTTAAGCATGCCATCCATGAATCTTTGCTGAGCAATCCACTTCAATCAACATCTGATTTTTGCCTTCTGTTGTCTGATGATGAGGATATTTTTCTTGACAATAGTCACTTCTATCAAATGAAAGAAATCTGTATAGCATATTTTTAAGATGCCCTATTCAGCGTAGATAAAGTTATCTTCAGAGTTCATTGTAAATTTGTATCTAACGTATTACTTTCATCTGAATTACAAAATTAGCTCTCCTGTTTGTTCTTGAAGCCACAGACTTCTAGGACTGAGACCTCCTTAAAGTTAGGTCTTTGTCCTTTTATGATGAGCGAACAAGCACCTGGAAGAAAGGACTTTTCCTCAGGTCTGTGACTGAATTTTACAGAGGCACAGATTCAGGGCAGACACTGTCTGCTGGGGTTGCTGCTCCGGAGCAGCTGTTAAAGGGCTGCAAATCTGGAAAAATCTGTAACTGCCCGTTGGCATTGTCAATGCTGTTGAATAGCATCAACAGCCGACTTGGAAAATGTCTCCTCTGAACTACAGCCTGGAGTGCCATGGAATGGGCTGCCCAGGGAAGTGGTTGAGGCACCATCCCTGGAGGTTTTCAAAAGAGGGGTTGGCATAGTGCTTAGACACATAGTTTAGTAATGTGGGGGTTTTTTTGACATAGTTTAGTGATGTGGGGTTTTTTTTTATGGTTTTCTTTTGGTCTTTTATCAGAGTTAGGTTGATGGTTGGACTAGATGATCTTAAAAGTTCCTTTCAACCTGGACGATTCTATGCTTTTATTCTATGATTCTGTCTTCTTCTGATTCTACCTTCTAAGGTGGGTCACCTTGCTGGTGGACAGCTCCAATGCAGGTACGTCCTCACACAGAGGACAAAAATAGAGTTGAAAAATAAGACAAAATTGTGTTTTCAAAATAGTAGCATAATAAGTAGCACATTGTATGAACTTATGCGGTGCTTCTGAGAATTAATAATTTTATTTGTTTCTCCAGGACTCAGAGTTCCCTGTTGATCATCAAATGAACCCAGTACTTTGGCCATGCTAAAGAAAATCCTCAACCCCTGAAACCTGGAGAGTCTAAACCGAGCAACATTTTAAAAGTGCGTGACTTCGCAGTGAGCTGGTAGGAACCATTAACAGTACATTAATTTTATTGCTATATATGTGTTGAGTTTTATTTTTCAACAGGTCATTAGGAAGCATTTGCTTTGAGTAAATTTAAAAAAAAACTAGTGGCAGCAGTCAGGGGGACATTCTCTCTGAAGAATGTGAAAGTGGAAAAAATGATCCTGAAATGTAGTGGGAGTGTAAATACAGTAAAGTACCTAGGCAGAACTGTTTACAGATTGAGATTCATCTTTTATGTAAGAAGGGTGGGATTTGGTAAGTAGATACAAAAAGGAGAACCAGAGATGACTATAAACTCAGGTTCCAGGAAACTGAATTATAATGCTGAATATTTTTGCAATTTGTATTTGATTGCGGTTTATTCCCTTGGGTAAAAAATCAGAAGAGTTTAAACTTAGATTAGTTTAGGTGTGCAAATAGCCTGTAAGCAATGACGCTCAGGGCTTGCTAGCTGCAGGCTGAGGAAGAATAAACATAAAAGTCTTAAAAAAAAAAAAAAAAGTTAAAACTAGTAGCCAAGTTCAGACAATTCTGACACATTGTCTAGGAATGAATATATTTTTAAATTAATTTTAAAAATAATCAATACTTTTATCATTCAAATAAATTTTATATAGCTTGATGCTGTTCTTATTGCGCTGAGGGTTGCAAGTAGGTTACTTCTGAAGGTATCTCCCTGAAGAAAAACTTACTGTATTCCTACACTTAATTTCAGAAGCTTAATTTCTTGTTGCATCCAAGAAGCGTAATCCAATGTAGTTATATTTTAAAAGTCCAAAAACTTGGACAATGTAATTGTCATGCAGATTAAGAGTTTGACAATTGACTGACAGAGGGACAAGTGTGAAATAAGCATTTTTATATAAGTGTTTGCTGTGTTAAAAGTTTACCTTTAGCTGTATTAGGAAGACGGGTTTGAGTTGCAAATTACTTTTGAATGTTTTTGCAAACTACTTGTGAATGTTAAAATATATAATATGCAATTGAAAATAGTAAAAGCTCATGGGATAGTCAAGAAAGGACACCTCTGCCTAAATTTTTCTGCTATCTTATACTTCAGCAATAACAGATAAATATCATACATGTTCATGTAAGACTTTTCCTTATGTATCTTGAATTATATTTTTAGATCTTACTGAAAGCATTATTCTAGATCCTTATATCCAGTGCTTCTAGATATTGCTAGAAGAGATGATCCTTATGTACTGAGAAATTCAAAGTATTTTCTATAGTTAATGACTGGATATTACACCTTAAGGATGCAATGCTACTTGAGAAAGAAATTTACTGGAATAAAACCAAATTGCATGTCTTTAAACTTATTTGGGAACACTTAAGAACTTCCTAGGAGAAACAGCAACTAAGCTAAAAAAAAATAGACCATGTATATTTAATTTCATATACTGGCAATGTGATGTTGGCTCTCGTGTATGATAATGCTCTGAAGAAAATGAGAGCCCAGGAATAGTGCTCTAAAATTAACTGAAATGCTTATCTTAAAAACGTAAAAATATAAAAGATTGTAAAGAACAAAAGAAGAATTTTAAATGTTCTTGAAAAAACATAAACACTGTAATTGAACTTTTCATTCACTTAAAAATTTGTGAACATGGTGGATTGTAGTATCTGTATGTTGAACAGTGTCTGAAAAACAGCTTTTAAAATGTATAGTAATTTCAGTTAACAAAGAGGTTATTCTACCTGAATACCACTACTTAAAATTAATCTATTTACATGTTTCTCTTGTTATTGCTAAAGGCTATATTGTAGCCTGGTTTGCTACAGGTAGGTAGTTTTTTGACAGCAAGTCCTACCATATTTTTTTAACATCCTGCTCAATTTCAAACAAATTGGACAGCGGAATAACAGATTCTGAAGTACAGAAGTTGCCATGTGTTTCAAGAAAACAGATTTCTGTGTTGAAGAAAGGGTCACTTTTAGTAGCCTGGTGGTTGTAGGTGGCTAAGAGTTCAAAGAGGGGAGAAAAGTTGTGAATACTCGTATTTTTGGGGAAGAGCTTCAAATGAACCTCATACATTATTAGATGCTATGGAACCCAATCTCAAGACACACAGGTAGGGTTATCATTTTTTGGTTCACACAGCAGTGATTCAGTCCCAAACCTGGCTTTGATTGGAAGTCCAAGAGGCTGTTAAATGCATAAATAAATAAAAAAAATGACTTAGATTCTGTGTATAGGGAATTAGCTTAAAATGGTCCATTTAAAAAAATTCTGAACTTTCAGTAAATGCACTTATAGTCTATTTGATCTTACAAACAGAAGGTGGAAATCAGTATCCACTAGATGAGAACTAATTCTTTCTTCTGGTTCCTGAGATAGGTAGAAAAAATTCTTTTCACTCAGGAGACCGAATTTGCTTTTTTATGATTTAGGTTTTTCTCACCAGAACCAGTGTATCAAAAATACAGGACAGAATCTGGTTCATGTATGCATATTACTAGGTTTCTTTATATTTCTCTAGAAATAGGAGCACCTGAAAATCAAAATTGACCGTTTTTTTACATGCTTTAAAGCTGATGTAGATTAGTTCTTTAGACCTTCATCAGTATTCATGGAAACTTATATTTGTGGAGGGGAAAGACCGACCCCTTGGGAAACCGTGTTTGCTTCTTGCTAAGCTGAATGTTTCCCACTCTTCAAATCATCACGTAGGCATTCCTCTTCTGCATTACACATATTTCTCTAGTATGCTTTTAAATATCCTGGTAAATCTTATTCTGCTTACAAAAGTCTCTAGAAGATCTATACTGCCTAAATGATCTTCCCAACCTTACTCGCTTACTATTCACTTTTCATTCTATACACCTGCTGTCTACATCTTTCATGGAAACCCAAGGGGTTGTGTGGCTTTCCGTGGAAAGTACTTCTACAGTCACCATGTGCAATACTACATCTGTCATGGTTTATCTTGTCTTCACTTGGGAAAAGAAAAATGCCCATGCAAACATTATTCGGTGTCTTTCTAATGGTTAGCACACTGTTGGAAAACAGGAAAATGTCATGTATTATTTTGGAGGGATGCTTATCTAAGACGTAGCTGAAAAATTAGCAGTAATGGCATGAGAGTTTCAGATTAGTGCAGTGCTAAATTTAGCATAGAATTTAATGTATTTTGTAGATAGAAAATAGTTCTATTTCTCTTGTTTAAATCTCAGATCAGAAAATTAGTGTTGTGAAAATACTATTTGCAGTATAATTGCGACCGTTTTGAATACCTCTTAACTCAAGCAGAATGACAAGTGAAGGCTCCATCACCTTGCCCTTTTTTAAAGTTTTTTAAGATGTCGTCATCTTGTCCTCCTCCTTCCCTCCCATGCCTCGCACACAGAGGTCACAATTCTCCATTCAAAGTTTATTTGATATTTATCATGTATAGTAATTGCTGTAAAAATGCCTCTTGTGATTGTGGCTAGAATTTGTGAAGTATACGACCTAATTTTTTAAATGGATGGTTCACCTAGTAAGTATGCCTGCATAAATAGAAAATGTATCGTATATTATTCTTGTTTACATATAACCTGATGTTCCCAAATCCTTTATCCTTGTTCAATATTTTGTAAAAGAAAAAGATAGAGAATGGCAAATGCTCTGCCTCGGCAGAGTGAAAATATGAAGCTGGAGATAATAATAAAGAAAAGCAAATACAAAATGTTTAGTGATTATCTAGGCTTTCCTGATGGGCTCAGTAAAAGATAAATTTTCTCATCATTATATCTTATTATACTATTTTCCCCTATTTTTTATCAGTGGATGCCAGAGAAGATTTTAAAAAAACTTATCTCCTTGGGAACCATGCAAATTGACTTGTGGCATAAAATTGTGTAGGTGATTATACGAGACTTATACACAATTTGAAATTAAAGTTACAGTCTTGTAGTTGCTTGTGCAAAGTTATGGCGGTAAAACTCCACAGAAATTATTGCAAAACCCTGTACTGTTTCCCTCTTTAGTTGCCCTTCACTACTTTTTCTCCTTCTTAACATAGAAATACATACGTACACACAGATGCACATCCACATCCACACAGAGGAATAATCTTTGCAGGAAAGAGAATTCTTTGTGAGTGTTGACATGAGGAAATTTTGAAATAGCTTATAGCCTGAAAGTTTCTATAAAATGAGGTGATGCTGATCTGCATTGTCTCTTTAGAGTTTTAAGTTTTCTGTTCATACAGTGAGGCAGTGAGGAAGAGAGAATTTGGCAGTGATGTGAAGAGCCATGCATTTTGTTGTGTCGGGCAAGCCTTGATGTCTGGACTCTACTCTGTTTTAGTCCCTTTAAGGCATAACTCCCAATTTTCAGTTTCATTCTCAAATTTTTGTTTTCATAGAGTTGCTTACAGGAAGAGCAGGCCATTAAGATCGTGCTGTGCATAAACAAATTAACAGAATCAGTGCAGATTATTTCAAAGCCAACATCTTGGTAGTTTTTCTCTGTTGCTCCTTCTATTCGGAAAGAGCTCTGTATTAACAACTCAAAGAAGCTTTTCTCATAGTCTTTCCTGTCGCTCCTTGATATTCTTCTTTATTGTGATGCCTGTGCAGTTCTGACAAGAGTTAGCCCAATGGTTTGCTGAGACTGCTGCCTGTCACGCTGATGAATGTTGTCTCCCTTTTTCCTGTGTCCTGCCCATTTGTTTCCATCTCTCTGTTGTCTTAGAGATGGTGAACTAATGTCATTTTCTTCTGTGTCTGAACGATGCCAAGCAAAATAGGGTCCGTCCACCACAAGGTGATCAGTCATATGAATCGTATTGTGTCTTTGTATAACACAAGCTAGAAAACAGGATTCAGAGTTCAAAATTCATGTGGTGAAATTTCCTGTCGAAGAAGAAAAATTTAGGGAGGTAGAAAAATCCTTATTAATTATTTAAACCCTCTTCTTGCCTCCCTAGAGCACTAGAAAAGATATATTTTTATTAAACTACATTTTTGAAATAACAGTAAAACTTTTTAATTGTGCCATCATGTGCT